TAATTACGTTTATTAGTTGCATTATTAAATGAAAATCACAAAAATAATGGTCATTTTATTTTTACATTTTTAGCTTTTAGTTTTAAATTAGTAATTTTCTTTCATTAGTTTTAAGTTAATTAATTATTTAAATGGTAGAAGTAGATAATTAAGTTTAATTCTACAAATTAGATTTGGTTTAGGACTTAATTTAGATTTTTAATTAATTAGGATTTAAAATTAGAAAAGAGAAAAAAAAAAGAGAAAACGCTTTGTTTGGTTCTGTTGGGCCACAACCATTTCAGTGGCCCAAGACTACCCTCAAATCCCCAAGCCCAGACCTCTAAAATCTGGTCCAGGTTCCCCTCTAACCTGAAACAACCCCGTCCCCCCAAATCTAATCTCAGTCGTTGATCTCCCACCATCTAACGGCCGGGAACTAACACCCACACCCATTAAAATTGTCCTAACCAACCCCCATAACCCCAAAGACCCCCCATTCTCTCATCGTCCTCACCATCTCTTAAACCCTAGCCGCCCCTAAATCCTTACCCCCACTGGCCGGCGGCCACCTCTCCAAACAACCTCAAATCTTTACCGTACACTCTTCATTCCCTCCTAATCCCTAATCCCCTACTGATTTTCCCAAAAACCTCCCCAAGATCCTTTAATTTCAAATCTAAGAATAACCTGAAATCCTAATCCCCTTTGTTCGATTTTATTTCAAGATCCCTAAGAGTTGATTCGACCCGAAATTTATATTGCTTGATTGTTCTCGTTGAGAACAATCAAATAATGTTAATTTCAGGTCGTTTCAAAAAAACATTGAAGTTGGTCAAGATCGCCATTCCCTTGGAGATTTCTTTGTCTAAGATTAATGGGTAATTCCTCTTACTTTATTTCCTTTTATTCTTCTTCTTCTTTCTTCCACTAAACGACTCTTCTGCCTTTTCAATTCTCCTCCAGATATTTTGTCCTAATTAGGATTTTAAGTTTAGTTTCGATTTTATTGTGATTAAAAGGTCTAATTACACATTAGTTATTTTAAATGCAAAATATTAGGTTATTCGATCTTAGATTAATTTGGTTAGTGAAGCAGTACTTATTGAAATTCTTGTTTTGAGTTTTGGATTTGCATGACTGTTCTATTATAAGTTGTTTTATAAATATAAGAAACATAGTAGAGTCAATTGAAATAAAGGATTTAGGTGTTTGGTCAATAAGTTTCTAGAAGGGACTAAAGTGCAATAAAAACCAGAAATTATGTTAGATTTTGGGGTTAAAAGGGGTAAAATACAGAAGCTAAAATGGCTAAAAATATGGAGGAAAAACTGAATGGACAGTTGTCCAATAATTGTCCAATTTAGTTTTAAAAGATGCTTTTTTCCTTGAAATTCAGGGGTGGCTTTCTGAAAATTATTCCTTTCTTATTTTTTGCACACGACAAATTTAGCACATGTTATATAAGACCTCTTACCCTCTCACTAAGATGGACACTGGTTTCACACGAAAAAACCTCTGAAATTTAGGATCCTTTTTCATTTTGAGACTAATTTTGAGATTGAGGAAAATACTGAAAAAGTTCAATGAAGCTGAGTTTTTGGGGCTGTTTCTTCTGCATTGTTGTTTGTTGATTTGCATCTGCTGATTTTCCTGTTGTAGCTGAGCTTAGTAATTCTAAACCTCATTTGGTTAATAACTACTTAGTTCCTGCTTATAGGTATGTTGATCTTCACTTGTGATTCACTTTGAGCTTATAAGCAAATATGTGAAAACTTGATGGTTATACTCAGTTTCCTGCATCTATTTTTGTGTTTAAATTTCCAGATTTGTTTGTCTTTGTTCCTCCTCTAATGGTTGTTTCTGTTTGTCCGCTTCCTTAGTAAAATTATGCATAAAACTACTCATGAACTAGTTTATTTGCTACTGTTAATTCTCCATCTTGATGAGATCTTTAGTTGTTATATGTTTCCAATGTATGAAAATGATGAAGTAGATCGAAACTTAATGTCTACTAAGGCTAATCTAAGTGTTAGTTTTCAATTAGAATGTATGTTGTTTATTTGATGATTTCAAGCCTAAACTGCACATTTTCAAAAGGGTCCGAAATCGATTCCAATAAACAGATGAAAGGACAGGATGCTGCTGAAGGTAATGGGAAAGACTCTTTGATGTATGGTGATACAAAGGCTTAGTTAAGTGATTTTCAGGTAAAATTTCTTAGTTTGAACAAAAGGAATTCATTGATCATTGTAATAATTTAAGAGTTATTCATGCCATGTGACAAATGTATGAGCTTTCTATATGAGATTAGAATCAATATTTATTATGATTAAGCATAGTGCTAGGTTAGATTGGTAGTGATAATTATATTCTATGTGTTTGGACTTGACTATCTTGAATTGCCACGCTTTAGGGCCTTATGTTAAATTAGGCCATTTTGAAAGCCTGATGTAGAATTAGACGCATCAGGTCTCAATTGTTGAGAACCTAAAGAGACCTGTTGGAGAATAGGTCCTACTGGGCCTATTGTATTGTGGCCCAGTTCTCGAAAAGCCCCAAAACAAAATACCACACAGTATTAGTAAATTGTTTGTAGTCCAAATATTAGTTAAAAACATAATTATTCAATTAGAACCCGTTCAGTGTAATTCGGTACACTCTTACATTAAGCTTAAACCCAACTGCCCTGTTAATCAATCTCACATGGTTAAGTTTTTAAGCGATTTGCTGGCATGCCAACAAGAGTAGTACATGAATTGATAGCAGATGTTTGTTAGAATCTAAATGAATGAGATCGTTGGTTTAGTTATACAAAAATCACAAATCTTCGTAGAATGCTTTAGGTGCGTTCTAAATCCACTATCGTGATCGTGTACACGTTCGCGTGACATAATTACGATTCTCAAAATAAATGAAGGTACACATTTGAGCGACTTTGACCAAACAATTTTAATAATAATAATAATGCGTGATAAATTGTGTACACGTACGCGTGACATAATTTTTAGCGCGCCGAATAAAGCAGGTTTACACACATGTGGCCCATTTCAAAGATAAATCCGTAAAACACCATAATTAAAAGCGTTAAAAGGTAAAATGCACATAGGATCTAAAATATATAATTAAAACAATTCAATTAATCCAGGTATGATTAAAGTGACAATGCTAAAATTACGAAATCCAGGAATGCTTAACACCTTCTCCCGGGTTAACAGAATTCCTTACCGGTCTTCTGATTTCGCAGACTTTTAGAACATAGTCAATTTCCTCGATTTGGGATTTTAAAATAAACTAGTGACTTGGAACACCATAATAATTATTCTAAGTGGTGACTCTGAAATTGAATAATTAATCCTATTTCGAATAATGTCACTTTAATTGGAAAAACTCTCTATCCCTCGGGAAAAAAGAGGTTTGACACCCGAAAAACGGATAACAATTGAATTTATACGCGGTTCTAAGGATACATAGTATAATTTAGTACAAATTGAGAAAATATATAAATGAATATCGAAATTAACTGTAAAAGAAATAAATGCAAACCAAACGGATCAATTAGCTTTGGCTTTTGAGTTAGATTACTCTCGAACCAAGTGAAAATTATGTTAATGTATGAATAGAGTAACAAGGTATTGAAAGCTGATATGCACTGTATTGCTTTCCTTTCAAAATCAATCTCCCCCTACAAATGATTAGAAACCCTTTATATAGTAGGGAAGTCCTATTTTGAATATAATTAAAAATACAGAAGGAATCCCATGATAGATTAATTAATTGGTCTCTCCTTGATATGCGCCGGGATTTTCGCCGAGATTCTCACCTTAATTGCGGATATACCGGCTTTTTTATTTTTTTGCTCGATCTCGATCTTGGCCGATCATGATCTTGATTGGTCTCGATCTTGACCGATCTCAGCCAGTCTTTATTTTGTTCGATCTCGATCTTGGTCGGTCTCTGGGTCGTGAGTTCGGCAACCTAACTTCGCATCATAGCTTGACGTTATACGAGGTTGAACCTTGATCTATCAAGTTCCAGTCTCGATTAGTCATACGAAGGGCAAGAATGGTTTTTACCGTATACAATTATGGATAACTTATATAATAGCAGGAATTAGTGGATGCCCAAAAAACAATATGACGGATATCTTTTCTTGAAATGAAAACAACCAAATGCAAGGGATTCAGCATATTAACCTTGCTCTCTGAGCAAATTCCAAAAATAATTTTGAAGTTTCTGTAAACATACATGACATGAGAATGAAAGACCAAAAGAAATGGAGTGACTTGGGATCCTTACTTGATATGGAATGACCTATTATTTATAATGCTCAATAGAATCATAAAACATAGTATTCCAATCCCTTGTTGTTTTGGCTCTCTGAGCTTTCTAGCTTTTAATATCTAGTGCATTGATAGCAGATATCTGCAGGAACATCGATACTGCTGCCAAGTCAGTGGAGAAAGCGGGACTATACGGTCGTTCTGAGGGATGATTCAACTTTACGAGGCCATTTCCCTGGGGTAAGTATACAGAGCAGCCTACATAAATTAAGTTTTTTGGATGGTAAAACTAGCTTATATGTAAACCCCCAAAATGCTTAAGTTAAAATCAGTTATAAGTCATAAATTGGATAATCACTTTTAGTTTGACCAACAATTTTACTAGTTTATTATTAATGATATTTTTTAATTCACAAAATTGTTTTCCCAAAATAAATTTTCTGACTTTCTCTTCATTCCATATTCGTCGTTAATTCTTTTTCTTACAAGGAATTTTTTTAATTTATAATCTTTTGAAAAAAATCAAGGGTATTTTAGTTATTTTAATAAAAGAATAGCTTATCTAACATTTTTTTATCAAACACATTAACTGTTTATTATCAATTTCATCACTTCTATTCAAACACATAAATAATTATTTTTAAAATCAATTTCAACTCTTAAATAAGTTTTTTAGCACTTCAAAACTTATCGTCTATTTACAATCAGTTAATCCAAACGGCTCTTAGGAAGCATATGCAGCTGTTTCAGTGCTGGGTGAGATGGATGTATGGATTATCTTGCCCTTTTTCCTCCAAGGAGGCCGTTATACCATTGGAGATATACATTATGTTGCAGATTCTGATAGGTATTCTCTTCTAATTCGTCACATATTAGCTGTTTGGACTTGCCGGTCATCACTAATTATGTTTCCTTCTAATCTATAGGCTTGTTCCAGCAGGTGAAACTGAATTTGCTAAAGATGCTGCTTTTGGATACAAATCTTCCAACCTCCGTGAGGTCAAGCCTTGTCTTTAATTTTCCAAGTAAAACACATTATATTCTGTTTCACCACGAAATTGATTTAGTTGTTATTCTAAAGAAAAGAATGAGAGAATTTTGCAAGTTAACATTAGAAACAGCCACGGAAGCATTAACTTGAGATTTAAAATCAAATCAGTGTATATGCATCCATATCAATGGGTAGCTTCAAAGTTTAGCTGCCTTTCAACTCCGCATTCCATTACAGGTGAGATAGATTTGAATGCTATCACATCCCAGCAGTTGCATACAATTACCTTTGACCAATATCCCAATGAAAACCATATGTTCCATGATTGGGATAAACAGGGGAAACAAGAACAGAAAGTAAAAATGTTATAGGCAACCAAAGTTTGTATGCAAAGTAAAAAAGAAGCCAGGTTTTGCACCATTTAACAGAGAGAAAGTACAGTATTTATAACATTTTTAAAAAGAAACAAGAACTAGTGTTCTCTGACATCTCCAAAGTGGTACGGTCTCAGTTGTTTTCATATTATAACAAACCCGTGATGGAATTCAATAAATAACATGAAACATCTCATTTGATGAATGGAGAAGATATTCATACCACTCCTCAGTGTCCAGTTTACTCGGCAGAAGCAATTCCTCCATGGAACTGTTTATTTTGCAATTAATCACGAGTCGATGAACTTTAGTTACACAATCAGTGTTCAATCAACATTATTGACATTTCAAAATCTTACAAATTATTGCCAGCTGATATTGTCACATAGAGTATATATAATAAAAAGTAGGCAGAATAGCCTAGTATACCCTTATACTTTTTCCGGTTTGACATCCCGGTCATCCTACTTCACTTGTTTTCGTCCAAATACTTTAACTTGATCAAAACCTATATTTTATACTCCTCTACCTATGTGTGTATCTCACTTGCTTGACATGGATGACACGTCATATTCCACGTCATTTTTATATTCTATCTATACTAAAACACTTATTATATACTATTATTTTCTTAAAGAAAAAGAAAAAAAAAATCAATGCCTCCGTCTCATCTCCCTTCTCTCAAATTAGGGCTGTCATGTGCTTAGCAGCTTACAGATTTCTTCTTTCTCCGTCTCATATTCCTTCTCCATTCTCATCTCTCTTCTCTGTCTCACCATTCCGTCGATGAATAATCATTTAGGTATTTTTAATTAGGCAGATTAACGCTGCATTGTTCATAGCAGCGGCTATCAAGGCATCGCCGGGGTCGGATATTGTCCGCTTGCAGAGCTGGATTTTTGGGGGGGGGGGGGGGGGAGAAAGAAGAAGCTGGGTTGGAGGGGTTTCACGACCAAAAAGGTCAAAATTAAATGAAAAATAAGTACTGATAGCAAAAACGGCCTTTTTAGTAAGGGATTTTTAGGGATTGGTTTTTTTTTTTTTGGGGTGGGGGGGC